AGATAGGCTGTCCTAACTGAATCCTAAAGTTGTTGTATGGTGGTCGATTTTGAAATGTCATTTGTTTTGATCACGAGATCGGTCGTGGCTGCTCTGGTATATTACTTTCTTTTTTTTTGTAAGTGAATATTGTCTAAAGCCACCTGATGAGGCTCTTGAGCAAGGCCGAAACCAATTACTATTGGAACTTATCTCATCAATAGATTTGTCCAATAATCTCCTTCTTTTTCCCCTCAATGGTCTGATCATAGACATTAGCTTACTTAGTCTCAAAAGAAGCTATATTAACAAGTTTTATTTTTTTGTCATCCTTGACTGTCGTTCTCATTTACCCATACCCCTATTTATTATATTTTAGATTATTTCATATACTTATTAGACTAACATAATAATCAGATCGTGAAAGATCAAAAATACTGATATGCATAAGAATACCATTCAAACATCAATTACTTTGAAAGTAAGTAATATTTGATAAATGAAGATGGAATATTGTGTTTTTTTTTCTTAATTTGTTTTAGCCACTGGAAGAACAAATTTTATCACAAAAATTAAGTCAATTATCTATTACAACAACTAATGAAATAATAGAAATTCCAGATTATCTATCAAAAGAAAATCAATCTTTCAAATGCATGTTAACTGATTCAATGTCCACAACAGCAATGGTAAAATTGAATCACGTAGTGGAAGAATTACGACAAATAGCCATTTTAATCCATTCAATGAAGGTCAATCGAATATATCATCCTCTGTGGACTATTTATTTAAAATCTGGTATGGGACAACTTTTTCTTCAATCGAAAGAACAATCAAATTATTCAACACATTTACAGATATGGCCAACAGAAATTAAAAAAATGATACAAAATTCAACCAATGCGAATGATATTTATATGAACTACGTTAATAATCATTTACTAACATTAGATGTTCAATTTAGACAATATGAAGTTGAACTAGATAAGAAAACAAAAAATTTTCATGGTTATTCATTACAACTTCAACGTTTAGTTGAAACATATATTGAACGGAATATATCTTCTTTACGTATGGAAATTAAACATAAAATTGAACTTGTTCACTATGATTATCATATTCAAGCAATCAAATTAGCATATTATCGTCATCATCCAAGTGAATATCAAGTAAGTTTATACAAAATAATAAATCTTTTTCTTCTTCTTCTTCTTCTTCTTTATATACATAGTATTGATTCATTTAGAAACGACTAATGCAACAACTTTGTTCTGCTAAATTCGAACAAGAACTGACAGAACAAGAATTTCATTTAGTTCAACAACAAATATCCCATTATAATTCGTCATGTCAATCCTTCGAATCTTCAACTATATGTAAATCAATATTACTTGATTCTATTCAAGATTCAAATATTCGTCAACAACTGCTGGATCAATATCAAGATATTGCTCAGCAATCAAAAATGAGTATGTTAACTCTTTTTAAAGAGTCAGCTAAAATTCAAATGGATGAATCGAAAAACAAATTTGAAATGGCTATGAAACAAACATGGTATGATCGTCATCTATCTTCGGATAATGACAAGATTCCCTTGGCTATGATCAATCTCATCGAACAACGTTATAAAAAGATCAGTGAACGTATTCAATGCGTCTACAAATTTAAAGCTGAGACTATACTTTGTAATTTGTAATTTTAAATAAAAAGAATTTCTATTCCTTGTTTTCATTTTATTCTAATAGCTATACCTATTTCTCTTCTAGATAAAATTTACATCATAGTTTCGACTATGAATGTCGACGATACTAATGATCTAGACGATCACCGACTTCCTCGTCAAAGACGACGAAAACAATGTCATGGTAATCGACGAGATCAACGTTTTCGAAGAAAATATCGTAAACGAAACATGCAAGAAAAAACAATAAAAAAGTTACTCGATCGACGACATCAAGCTGCTACTACTACTACTACTAATAATAATAATAATATGGAAATAGTGAATTCGAACCAAAGATCGACTACAATAAATGATACATCAAAATTGGCGATGATCAATGATAATAAACGTAAAAGAGATGTTCTATCACAAGAACAAAAATTAAATCAAATTATGATTAAATCAACAAGTCAATTACTTATTGATCCACCATTATCGAAAAAAATGAAAGAAAAAGACAGCAATAGAGTTAATGAAACATATAGGTTTGTTAACATATTTATATAATATAATGTTTTTCTTTTTCTCTTCATAGGCAACCCATGTATTTGAAACGATTACCATTAACATTTTTTCCAATCTTAAGTAAAAAATTAAATTATACATTGAAGAAAAAAAACGAACGAAGAATCTTCTATGCACGACTCGATTTGTTAGATCAGCAATATTGTCTGGAAGTTGACCAACATCTATGGCAATCCTATTTGGATATTGGTTTAAGAAAACAGATATGGCCAGTAGGTCTCTTTGCTGCATTATTATTATTATTATTATTATCTATTATTATTCTTACATTCTTTTTATTTTTATTTAACAATAGGATCAACTCTATACAATGGCAAATACAAATAATTTTAACGTGTGTCAAGAATATCTTATAAATTATATAAATGATATCAAACAACAACTACATCAATGTCAGATGGAATTAACTAAACTATATCAATCACGTCCTATAGCTACATTGTCAATGAATGAAGTGGATCGTTGCCTAAAAGAATTCATTGTTTGTCAACGCAAATATTTATCAATTCGAAATAATAATCAATTGGTGAATTTTCAAGATGATCTCAGCGAAAAAGAATTATTTACGCTTGTATCTGCATATAGTCTTACAACAAATCAAGTAAGTGTTTGTGTAGTTTTCAATAGAACAGATATTTTTGTTTAATCATCAAAATCTCTTTTAGAATGAACATATGCATCAATTAATAACAATACGTGAACAACAAGTCAAATTTTGGGAACAACTTCTTATGTTAAGAATGCGAATTCTTGATAAATTTTTACCTCAACATTTCGATGATCTCGAACATTTTATAGCACCAAATATCTATTCACCTGTCATTAGCAATACAATTGCCATTCAATTTAAAAATAAACATTATAAAATTATACAAGAAGCAAAACGTTCATGGCTCAATATTACATTACATGCCTATGAAATTAAAATTCAAGAATATGATCGTCAATATCAATATGAATTGGTACAATTGAAATCACGATTATTGAATTCTATGACTTTGAATGGTGAATCGATGTTTCATCATCTTAATGAATACGCGAATAGTCGAACAAAAAAATTAAAAGCGGATATTCATCATAGAGTATCATCGTATCGTAAAATATTACTTCAAAATCGTCAACGTTCACCATCGACGAAGAACATCATTGGCGTCTCTCCTGAACCTTTTCTTGATCTAATGTTTAATCCATTCAATACAAATGAATGGAATCATCTTTCATTGGGTAAGTTTTGCTTCTTTTTTTAAACTTTTTTTGTCAACAGTTTATAATTCATTGTCTTATATTTTTAGGTCCATCTTGTATACGATTGAATCAAAGTGCTATTCGTCCTCGACATCAACAAGAAATTCAAATAAAAAAAGAATATAGTGATATTAATCAAAAAGTTGTCCAGTATCTTACATCGCCTCCACGTAATATACCATCAAGAGCAATGATTCTAAAAACATATTCCGATGATCTACTTAATTATTTCAATCATGCTTATTTTGCTCCACAACCCTATAAGGATCAAACACAAGCACTCACACAAGCAATTGCAGCTTTATCGATTCGACAAAAAATTAAAAAATTCAATCTTATTCTTCGTGTTACTGATAAGAGTCACAATTTTTATATTGGTTCAGCAATTGAATTCGAGAAGAAAATTCAAACATTTTTTCAAGATACAAATGCTTTCGTGGTATTAAAAGAAAATCCATTCGATGAAATTTTAACTAAAGTTATTCAACTACTTAATCGACTTAGTGGGAAGAAACTTATTCTACAATGGCAAAGCAAAAAAATGATGCCTAATCGAGCAAAATCTGTATTGGCTCACCTCTATTTTAATCCTAAAACGCACAAGGTATTATAGTCGAAATTATTTAGGAATTCTATTGCATTTTTATTATTTTTCTCATTCATATTGTTTTAGATTGGTATACCAGTTCGACCGATTGAAAATACAATAGGTGCTCCAACAACAAATATTTCCGATTTCTTAGATGAAATTATACGACCGATATTCGATAGTAAATGTGGTCCAACAAGTATCATTGATGGAGCTTCTCTACTTAAAGAACTTTATAAATATATCAAAAAGGGACTTTTTAAAGCGTCCACTCTTTTCTGTACCTTTGATATACGAAATTTATATACCATGTTACCACAAGAAGAAGCATTGGACATTCTTATTGAATTTCTTCACGTACATGGATATACGAAAGTCAAAGGAATTTCTCTTGATACAATAAGAATATTAGCTGCTATTGTATTGCAAGAGAATGTCTGTGTTTACAATAATAAAATTTACAAGCAAATGCTTGGTGGTGCAATGGGTTCATCGTTTACATTAACTTTAGCCAATATATTTATGTGGAAATGGCAAAAAGAATTCGTTCGTCGACAAGATATATCAGGTGAATTTTATGGCCGGTAAGTAAAATAAAAAATAAATATTTGAACTTTTAGATATAATTATCTTTCTAGATATATCGACGATATTTTCATGACATGGAATAAATCTGAAAATGAATTGCGAAAATTATTAGATGCAGCCAATAGTTGGCATCCAAATATTAAATTAGAATATAAGATTAGTAAGAGCCTTCCATTCCTCGATGTTCTTCTTACAAACAGCAATGGTATTCTATTAACATCCGTCTATCATAAGCCAGCCGCTGAACCCTATGTCGTACCATTTATTTCTGATCACCCTCGACATGTCTTCATTAATGTTATTCAAACTAGTCTCGCACGTGCTGCACGATATAGCTCTACACTTGAAGCTTTTAACCATGAACAACGTTATATTCAATTAACTCTACTCTATAATGGGTAAGTCTTGTTTCTTCTTTCTATAGAATATGATTATAACTGCTGCTACTACTATATATATTATCCTTTAGGTATCCATCCACATTTATAGATAGAGAATTTCTTAAGTTCTTTTTCGGTTATATATCTTCAACTTCGTTTTTGCCTATAATCGATGATGAAAAACAATTTCTTAAAATGCATCGTAAATTATTGGATCAACCAACATTGAGTCAATCACAAGCAGCACTTAGTGCAGCTATGGCAGATATCGATAATGACCAAACGGATGAAACAGTCAACGAATCGAAAGAATCAAAAAATTACAATGACAAGTCAAAACAACATTGTAATGATAAATTAATTATTCATTATACGCATGAAAAGCGTATTCATTCATTCAAAAAAGAGATGCATCGTATTTATGAGCATGTTTTCAATAATACACCAGTTAGCCATGTGAAAATGATTGTCGGTAATCGTAATCGTCAAGATGCAAAACGTGAACTCATTCGTAAACGTCCTAAACAATCATTATTACAAAATAAACCAATAAAAAGTAAATATTTTCAAAATCACTTGTTCTTCATCATCTGTTTTTATTTCCATAGGAAGACGAAAGAAAACAAAGAGATTATCAAAATCAAAAACTTCAATGGAACAACAACAATAGCGAATTTGATCAAACCATTACAATCATTATTCGAATTCAATGCATCGATCGATAGACTGATAAACTATTAAACTTGTTTGAAAAATTCTATTTAAAATTTTTGTTTTTTTTTGTCTTTGTTTATTTGAATTCTTTTCATTATATGAAACTGATATTATTTCATATGAAATACTTTGTTTTTTCTTTTATTTCTCATTATCATTGATTTCTATCGAACTTCTTTTACATACTATACATTGAGTGCAGAAGAATATTACACATGTTTAGATATTTTGCCAGTAATTCCTCGTATTCTTATCGAAACTAAAACTGAACGTATAATTGCATAATATTCTGCTTCTATTCTTGTCAGTGCTTTAAGTATGCATTTTATTTCAATTTTTCTTTTCTATTGAGACAGTTAATAGATTCATACAATTTTGTATATACTATGAAAATGTATAATCGAAAAAAACTAATAGCTGACTAAAATAAATCGAGTCAGCAAATAGATTGACTCGACTTTACATATAATATGAAAATGAATAAAGGAGAACGATTTAGCTTAGTCTATGTCTATGACTTCGAACATTTCAGATATATATAATGGGAAAGAGAACGAAATAGCTTAGTCTATGTCTATGACTTCGAACATTTCATCTATATATAATGGGAAAGAGAACGAAATAGCTTAGTCTATGTCTATGACTTCGAACATTTCAGATATATATAATGGGAAAGAGAACGAAATAGCTTAGTCTATGTCTATGACTTCGAACATTTCTACTATATTTAAATTGAAAGA